ATTTTCTATGAAAAAAATGTCAGAAAGGGGTAAATATTTCAAAAAGCTAAAGTTGCACCAAATACCAAAAGTCACAGCAAGATTGTCCTGATAGAGCTGAACGTTTTGATTTATGATTTGGTGAAATGACTTGAAAACACGCCGCAAAACGAACGGAAGAAAAATGGATCACAATAGGGTGAGTGCCTAACAAGCATTCACACAGGGAGTCTTAGAATCATAAACACTGACAGTTTCAGGTTTTAGCTCTGCTGAAGCAGCCACCACAGCTGCCTCCATCTGTCTGTTTCTTTTCCTCGCTACAAATCAATACAAGTCTGTAACTGTCAGCGGACTCCTGAGATGTCAGCTCATTATTCAGTCATCTGTGAGGCTGATCCTCACCAGCCAAGTGGATGTTGTTGGATGCTTGTGCTGGAACCTTGTCCTGTTCAAGTTTTAAAGAAAATCTGCAGAACTCTTTGTGTATTGCTCTGTCTTAAAAGGAATAATAAAAAAAATTACACTAGCCAGCACGTTATTGCATACTTGAATTGCTGTGTGTTTTGGTTGCACTCAGTCTCCACACGTTAAACCTTTTAAAGTATGTCACATGTTTCTTGACTTATCTCAAGCTGTCATCTTGGGAAATTTAAATGATGGCCGGTTAAGTTTCATTCTCTAACATAAACCCCAAAATTAAACAAACTTATAATAAGAAATTAATCTCGTAGAATTCCATCATCCATACTACACGAATACATAAAAATAATTTAGAACGACCTGTTCTTACATTTATTTTATTTTTTAGGGGTTTGAAAAAGCCCAAAGGAATGACGAAACCCGTCTGTGTGTAAAAGTGAAGGATCATTTCAGCAAAAATAAAACAAATGCTTGGAGAGAGTGTTCCTTACTGAGCTGTTTGTGTGGCAGAAACTGCAGCTTCTGTCTGACTAATTTTGGACACTATTACCATAAATGTGTTTTCTTCCTGTAGACAGGATGGTCTGGAGTTATTGCTAAAATGAATCCTTTTAAGGGTTGAGTGAAGGATTGATGTCGTGACTGATGTATTTTGCTAAAAGCCAACAGTTTTTCTTGTTTTTCCTCTTTCAGTCTGGCTCTGGTCCTTCCTGACTACAGCATACATTACATCCGCGCCACGATCGGCGACACAATCACCCAGGCAAAATGTAAGTTTCATCCTCCGCCGGACAGATTGTGTGAGGCAGTTTGGGTTTTCCTGCTCACTTAGTCTTCTGCAGTAGTTAAAAAAAACTGCTTTATTTAATTGCAATTTAATTCCAGTGAGCCAGACCTTTATTTCTACATCAAGTACAAGAACTGGACAGGAAATGAATGGAAAAGCTGCCAAAGTCAAAAATTACTTTGAAAAAACGTTTCAGAAATCTAAAAATCTATTCCTCATAAACATTTTAATTTAAAGACCTAGTGTTTCTTCAAGGAGACGCATACTTGTCACCTTTTCTGCCAGAATCTAACATCACCGTATATTGAAAAATGATAGTTGTCACTGATATGGTCAAACCTTGAAACTAACTTTTAAGTATTAATATTCATAAACTGACTGATTTATATCTATTTTCATATTGGCTAATGTTGATGAGCTGTGGAAGCCATCTTGAATCAGGTTGACTTCATCAGTAGACGTGCGTTCAGCAATAAATTTCTGCAAGTTTCATTAAAATTTGACCAGATGTTTTGGTATCTGCTCACACAGTCTGGCTTCTTGGAAATCAAATATAAAGAAATAACTCCAGACGTTTCTATTGTATCTTTTACATATTAACATCCATTTGTCTAAACCTAATCACACCCTGCTTGAAGTGGAGATCCTGCTAAAGGTTTTTCCACACGTTAGAGATAAAACATAGGTATGTGTCATACTCAGTGTGCGAGTCCCTAAGTGGATATTTATATGCTCACACTCAGCTCTATTAACTGATCCATTCTGCATCAGGAAGTCCAGTCTTCGCCTAAAGTCTCTTATATCATCCGTATGTTCCCCCTTTCTAAAACTGTAATCGTATAGCCCTGCTCAGATGTATTTCATGTGGCGTGTGACGGCCCCATTAAGATGTAACTGTCTCTAATTAGACCGTGCTCCACAAACCTTGCAGCTTCACCAGTTAGCTTGGATTTCAGGCTCCTGACCTTAGCAGAAGTTCTAATCAGTTGGCATCGACTTCAAAATCACTTGGAAATGGTTGAAACGTGCCCCCCCCCCCCTTTTCTCGTAGATTTTTATTATTACAGTTGCTGCCAGTTTGAACAACTTGGAAAAGCCTCAAAGATCTGAGTTTCAGTAACAAACTCCTAAACTGGTTTGTAAATATTTTAGCAGGCACTTCGACATCGTCTCTGGATGACAGCATGTGTTGCTCCAACACAGGTGATTTGTCACATTTAATTAGTTCGGAGACGACAGCAGACTTTGTGTAGGCTCCTTTATTTCTTTCCAAGTGAATTTTTACTTTCATTCCTATATCATAAAATAAAGTCTTCACTCAGAGTGACTTTCTGCAATAACTTCCACTAATGGATGGTGATTCCAATGAATCCCTACCTTAGGGTCTAAAGTTTCCATCTATTCTTATGATAAAACTTCTTCCTAAACTGTTAACAATGAGTTTTTTTCAGAGTAATTAAACTCTCTTTGTACGTTCTTAAATTATAATTTCTCATATTTGGATTTTTTATTTATTTATTTATCATATTTGAAGTTTCCTGTAGGCCTGAAAACTATAAGGATGTTCAGATGTGAGCATTTTTTGAAGTGGAGTTCTGTGAGATTTATGAACAAGAAAAAAAATGTACTTGTTATAAATAGCTCATTAATCAATCTCAGTTTGGAGAAATAGTTCCGTTATTCCTAAAAACAACATATTGTTGTAGAAGAAAGCTACATCAGATATTAAACCTTTAAACTTTAGCATGAAACTGTTTATTTTATCGCTTTATATTAACCAAGCATCTGCGTTATTATGCCAAGAGATTTATTATTAGCTAATGTAGCGGTCTTTTGGGTGGCATAGTGGAACAGTGGTTAGTTCTCTCACCTCACAGCAAAAAGGTTTGGAATGTGTGGAGTTTTTGTTTGTGCATTTGTGGGTTTTCTCCAGGTACTCCAGTTTCCTGCCACAGATCAAAAACATGCATGTTAGACTGACTGGTAACTCTAAATTGTTCCTAGGTGTGAGTGAGAGTGAGAATGGTTGTTAGTCTCGTTTGTCTCGATGTGTGTCCATGTGATGGACTGGAGACCTGTCCAGGGTGTCTCCTGCCTCTCGTACAGTGACTGCGGTACATGGGCACCAGCTGTCCCACCATCTGGAAAAGAAAGTCCAATAAAGTGGATGGATGGACCGACCATTCTGTCACACTAACATGTCTTTTTTTCTTTATTTATTTCATAAACCTACAAAAATTATATTAAAAAAAGGCCAGAAAACTCCTTTATAAGGAGTTCTTCACAGAACCATTTTTTTATTCTTGTTTTTTCTCTTGTAGAGCTTTACAGCTATTTGCAACATAGCAGTAACTGTTCAGCTGTAGCTTGTGAAATGTTTTGCAGGAACATAGTTAATTTAAAACTAGGGATGCACAATATTGGATTTCTGACCGATATCCGATATGCCAATATGTTAAAACTTATTTAGCCAATAACTGATACCAATACTGATATTTTTTTAGACCTCCTTACAGAGACTACATAGCTTTCTATGCTGTGGAATACTACATTATTCTGCATGGCCTGCTACCAAATGCAGATGCCAAAAAGGGGGCTGAAAATGATGTAACACTTCTACTTGGAATATGTTTCATGTCAAATGTATTCATGACATTTACTCGCTCTAACACAATGACAACATTCGAACAGTGCAAATTTGTAAATTTTCACAAATCTAAACTCAACCTGCTCACAAGCGACAAGTGAAAAGTGCATAAGAAGTAGTGCATTAATAAATATACTTGACAGTTTCTTAAATAAAAAAAAATTACTCAAAACAGAAGCCCAATATGTGGGTATACAATCTTAATGATCAACTCAAATCTTCTTGTCACTGGGTTGTCATACAAAACCATTGCCATATGTATATATATATATATATATATATATATATATATATATATATATATATATATACAAACAGCTCCTTTTATATCGCTGAGTTATTTTGATGGAATGGCCTATGTCTGATATTTAACTTTATCGTTAATATCGGCCAATACCGATAACATGCCGATAATATCAGAAAAACAGAAAGCCCAATATGAAGTTACATCATTACACATGATGAAAAAACCAGAAGCTCAGTATGTGGTTATACAATCTTAATGATCATCTCACATCTCCTTGTCACTGGGTTGTCATACAAAAACAGCTCCTTATATATCGGTGAGTTATTTTGATGGAATGGCTGATGTCCGATATTTAACATTATCGCTAATATCAGCCGATAACATGCCAATAATATCATGCATCTCTAGTTAAAACCATATTAATGCTATGTTGATTTACAGCAAGTACGTATGATATTAATTGTTCAAAACATTTTCACAGAACCTCACTTCAGAAGTTCTGCTCTCTCCCCGTGAACTAATTGTAGTTTTAGTTTCCCTTCTCTTGGTCGGTCATCTCTGCTGGAATTAAACCCATTCGTCTAACTTTTGGTTTGTTTGAACTTTCATATACAATATTCTTATTCAATATATGTTTGAATAAAATATTGTGTAACCCTGTTGGCTGTGTCTTTCCAATTCCCTTTTTCCTCTTGTTTATATTCTCCTTTTATTGTCTACTTGTGACCATTCCTGGTGTGTTGGACCTTCTGCAGCGTTTCTGGGCAAGTATTCTTCTCCTGTGCTTCTCCTTTTATTTATTTTATTTTTTTATTTTCACTCTCTCACCTACCAAATACTTTGGATGGAACTTCTCTCTGTGTGGCCTTGAAGACTAACAAACATTTCATTCTTGTTTGTTTGTTTTACTTCAATTAGTGGTTTCTGATTAATAATGACAATTTTAGTAAAGTGAATCAAGCCGGCGTTTTTTTTTTCTCACAAGCAGCACTTCACATGCAATGCATCCCTTGTGAGTTGCAGACAGTGTCTTTGTGTCTGAGTGCATGTATGTATTAACCCCCCAACCTGCTCCAAGTGTTCCACTCACCCTCAGATGTGGTTTTGGCACTAGCCCACTGTGGCAGGAAGAACAGAGGAACAGGATGTTTGCATTAGTTAAAGGTGAAGCCATAAAGGAGAAACCTGTGAGTCTGTACCCAAAGCATAAATTGGTGTCTTTGTTTTCTCTTTCGTTTTTTTCTGGCTCACTTTGATTTTTACAACCTTGTTTAATAACTCCTAATGAAAGACATGATTCTTCTCCCTTGTCCCTGTATGTGCTTCATCATCAGTTTCGTCTTATTTGTGGGCGTTGAACCAAAACGTCTCCACAGCACGTTGTTAAGCTCCGTAGTTTTTCAGAAACCCAAGCCCAACTGTGTCTGATTTTATTCTTTCTCCGAGAACAAATATTCTGTATATGTCAAGTGAACTTGAAAACACGTCAAGTCCCAATTCCCACATCTATTTGTTATTAATTTGCTCAGTCGGGCAAAGTTCTTGGCTTTCATGTAGTTTGTGACTCCGATTAGTATTCAGCCAAGTTTGAAGTTTGAATGAACTTCACCCCGAGAGAGCAAAAAAACTATTTTATCATCACTCCTCATATCTCCCTGTCATTCATCATCACTGGATAGTTTTGTGACTAAATATTGAAGAACCACAAGAGTTTTCTAAGCATGACACCAAAGAATTGCCATGTCGTCATGAGAAACGCTGCTGCTCAGTGTAGTGATGTGATGCGTTTTGGAGAAAAAAACTAAGCTTGTGAGCTGTGGTTATAATTTTATGAAAGCAACAACATCACAGAAATTTGGTAATAACCAAGAAGATGCCAACACTGCATCTAGGAACGCATCTCCTAACCACAGCCTAAGCCTTCTCTGTGTGCTCCCCATCAGCACCGTCTACATCCAAAGACCTGAAACCTTTTGTTCACAATGCAATATTTCTATTCAGAACTCGTTCTGTGAATAAAATATTGTCACCTTTGACATATGTGGTTTTACCCTGTCCTTCTTTTTCCCCCTCTCTTTCATCTCCCTCTCGTCTTTACCTCCCCGGGGGATTCTGGTACTTGTTCCCTTTCTCTCCTTTGGGAATATTTCTACTCCAGGGGAAAATGGCAAGTATTTTTTTTTTCTTTTCTTTACTTTCATCTCTCTTATTATGATCTCAAAACCTTGTCAGCCTTTCACAATAAATGTCTGGCCAACTTTGCTCTGGTTTTTGTTAGTTACACCTTTTTTAAAATGTAACGTTTCCACAAGATTTGCTTCAGTTCATTCTATTCTATGAACAATGAACCCTGATTTTTATAATTTTTTGAGGTAATAATACATGATACAGCCCAGCACATACTGCATGGTACTTGCTTAATAATATGTATTGCATACATGATGCATAGTACGTACCTTGTATTACTGACACATATGTAGTAAGCATTGCTACCATTTTTAGGCTGTTTTATTTTTATTTTCTGAATCCATGTTCCCTTTTGTTTTAAGCATTAGCAGGAGAATGTTGGGTGTGTTGAAACATGGTTGTGTCTTTATGTGGACTGTTGAGTAAGTTTGTTGGTGCAGCTACAGACAAAATACAACAAAACTAAAGACACAAAAACAATTGGTAAACTACAAGGTGTGAAAAAAAAATCACATTTTATTTTTAAAAAAAATCTATTTTTGTATCATAACTGACAACAATAAAAACAATCCACTTTACAAATTGAAGTAATTTCCAAATTCATAACAACATGCTACAAAAGGTCGGGGAAAAAAAACAAACACATTTGACAAAATAACTTTATAAACATTTTCAAAAATTACAATAAACTAGAGTTTTAAATGTCTAAAGCAGGTATATTAAAAACATTTGAAAGTGTGAAATGAGATTTTTTTTTAAATTGACTTAACTAAAAGATTGTTTAAAAATAGATAAAAGTTCTCAATTAATTACCCCCAAACTAAAAAAAAAAACTTATCTTCTAAACTAAAGTTTTATTTTAATGACAATTTCAGAAAATGTAAGGCCACTTACATTAGATACCACGTTTGATTTGCTGGTGTTTTCTTTACAAATTAAACTTTATTTCCTGCATAGAAACCTAATATTTTTCTATGAATATTAAAACTATAATGTTCAAATACATAAAACTAAAAATGTATACTGAAACAATTGTAAAAATATTTACTTGCTACTTTGCGGATCATTTTTCGCGGACTTGCTCTATCGTGGTTTTTCAAAATAAGATTGGACATGACACACAATTGGCTGATTGATGGATGAGCCGCACGATCTGCATGGAATTTTTATTTAAAATAAATTATTTTTAATTATTTAGCACCTGTGTGCAGCCCACAGCTGCAGAAAAAGCTTCCTCCTGCAGTCTCCGTTCTGCAGTGGAGAAGTGGGCGTGGCCAAGAGTGCAGCAGGAGGCAGAGAGTTGAGTTCGTAACATTCTGTGCTCTTTTAGAGCATTTAGAGTTTCAAAACATTTAGAATATTGCAAAAGTGTGGAATGGGTTTAAAATGCCTATATAT